CAAAAAGTACTCGACTACATCACTGAACAAAAGGAAATGTTTCCAACACAAAAGAAAACAAAAGAAATCTTATTTTGTGGTGTGAACTTCCATATTCAGATAGGGTTAGACTATTTTTAATCCGTTCCGACATTTTGCCAAACAGAAACAAGCCGACTTGAAAGTTACATTTGAACTTCATTGGTCCAAATTTATTCAATTATAGTACTTAAAATGGAGAGCAAAAACACTTTTATAAACGCAACGCGTGAAATACCGCACAGGTTTGGACGCTCAAAGGATATAAGGTTACTTAGTGCCCTAATCTCCAAATATAATATAAGTGCACGCATAAGTGCACGAGGTCGGAAGTGTCGACAAACAATGTTTTGCCCTTCCCGCGGCCCTGCGCTGTGTGCGTGGTTCGTGACAAGTGAACGCTTGGGTATGAGGTCAAAGAGCCTAGAGATTTCAATCCAGTTGATGAAACAGCGTGTGTTAGTTTCCATTCAGCTTCATTTCATATTTCTTTTTGCTAGTTGAAATCTCCGAAATCATAGCAGATTTTAACGTTCATGATGCCAACATCGAGGTTTGCTCCCAAATGGCAACAAATATCGGCTACAAATACGTGTGGGCGTCGCCAGATTTTTTTTCGGCGGGGGAGGCGGAAAACCCCTCTAGTTAAAACAAAAACATTTAGCTGCAGGAGGGAGGTCGATTTTTTTAAGCAAATACTTATGTTCTATTTCATTTCTAGTTTTTATTCTTTGGTTGTTTTCTTCTTTTTCTTTTCCTTTTTTTTGTCTTTTTTTGTTTGTTATTCTTTTGAGGGTTCCTTCTCGTGGTGCTTATGTAAATAGGATTATTTGTAAAAGTATATATGAAAAGGCACCGTCATCCTTCCAACAGGCAGTCTACCAGGGTGCCAAATTAGTCTAACCACTTCCTAAATTGGAAATTTATAGCCCCAAAAGAGATTTGTTTTGTTTTGTAATGGAAATCAAGCTTGGTTGAATCACGTTTTGTTTAGCAATCTGAAACCCAAGTTCACTGCATTCCACCCTAATATTATTATGCATCTGAGTATGAGTTGTTTTTTTGTTTTTGTTTTTTTTGCAAGTGGCCCTTATACGCTTCCGTATACTTATACGCTTCCTTACACCACCTTCAAAAGGATTTATTCATCACTGTCAACCGATGCCTGCTGGTAAAACAGAGGCTATACACTCGGGCAATACATTTAATACATTATACAGGTTTTTTCCCCGATTTATTTCATAAATATACAGTACAACTATGTCAGGGGCCCCTTTTGATAAAATTTGAAAGCTCTCACAATATGACTTATATCACTCAGATATTATCAACTTAACCACAGTACTTGCATGTGGCCTTTTCAATGACTGTGCTTTCTTATGCATACATGTATAGGTTTAATTAAAATCTCAGCTATGCGAAGGGAAATGTCGTAGATTCAAGGATGCATCTGGACATAGGTGTAAATCCCAGGGGATGGTTTACTCCACTAAATCTGGAATACCTTGACAGAAGATTACAGGGATAGATGGAATGATTCAGTACTTACCATGATCTAAGACCATGCAGTCACTAGTGCCATTCAGTGAGTATCGAGGCGTGTCTGCATCGTCATCCAAGTACACACTTCCTTGGATTGCGCTGAAGTTTCCAGGATGCTCTCGTCTGGTAGCAAGGTTCAACTCGCACATTTTGTCACAGCCATTGAAGTTAAATGACTTGCATCGTTCATCCAAGCTGCAATCTCGTCCGCAGATGACAATAGAGCGAACAGATCTGTGTGCATAGGTAAACCCACGCAGAGAGCGATTTTCCGCGACGTAAAGGGTTTTTCGGAGTGGATTACATTGGTACCCAAAGGCTAAAATAACCATCCCCATACACAGTGTCAGCGTCAAAACTACAAAACCAGCGTCTTGTTTCGCCATTTTGAAATTTCCTCAAATGTTCGGTTCCCAATTCTAAAATGTAGGCTCAAGCAACAGAAGAGAAGATTATTTCTGATAGAAAACAAGGTGTTGACGATTCCATGCAGTTGCCAAACTGCTATGTGGAAGATCATGGTGAAATGCCAATGTCTAGCTCCGCCCATG